ATATGGTTCATGGGGTCACGAAGAGTCGGACACGACTTAACGACTGAACAACAACAACTTGTACTATGCTTATGGATAAGCATACACCAAATAAAACTACTACATTCTCAAGGAACAGAAGGCTTTAAGAATTTTCAATTACCCCACAGGGACTACTAATTTGTTTCTGGACTGACTATGTGCATTTGAAATTACACTAAAAGCACTTTTTTTTTTTTTTTAATTGTTATGGGTCTTTTGACCTCGGGGACAGTTCATTTCCTATCTGCAAGCCATATGGCCTCACTCCAACTGCTTTAGAAGGTCTTGCAAGAGAAAGGTAGTTTGGTGTTTTTTTAGCTTTCCCCTATAGAAACCACTCAGGGTTTTTTTTCCCAAATGACCAGACAAGCACATACAGCATGACACAAAGGTACAGAAAGTGGGATGCAATTTTTTTTTTTTACTTCTTTTTTGCAAAGAGCCCTTTTTCACCTCTCCCTACCACCCAGACACTATTCAGAATTCTATCACAGGTTCTGCTTTCAACCATTTTTCTACTGTAGTCTCCTATAAAGGAAAAGGGGGTCAAAGTGACTTTCATCCAGATCACCACATGATTGTAACAGTCTCTATATCAAGTCGCCTTCAAAGACAATTTGGAAGCTACACTATTATAGAATTACCCTTCACCTGGGGTCGCTGCACTGATTGCTGGTAATTCAAAATGCTGGTTATTACTTCTAAGGCTCTATGCTGCATGGCACCAGGGTATATCAGGGGCTACTCTACCAAATTTGATTCTGCCTGCCCAATCTGATCATCCAGATAGGGCCTGTTGAGAACCCCATCTCCACATATGGTGCAAGGGCTTTGAGCGGGTATATGGCCCTCTCCATAATAATTCCCATCCTTAAACCATGCTGCCCCAGGAAGTTCAGTTAAAGCTGGCTTCTTTCTTATTCAGGAAGGCCTTGAAGATTGTTTGATTTCAATGGCCCTTTGGCCCCAGAGCAACTGTGGATGATCCATGGTTTCTTTGCATGGTATTTCAATGGGAAATGTTACATTATGCTTTTGTATGTTGTCTTTTCTGTGTTGGGAATTGCCCAGAATCTCACAGTTGAGGCAAAAATGGTAAAATAAATAAGTGAACAAAATTTGTTCATTTGTAATAACCATGTAAAAAGACATTCCTTACTGTGAGGTATAAAAAGCTGCAGTAGCTGAAATTTCCTTTGCTACTCAAATAATGAGCAGGCATGAGAGCCACACATTCTTTTGCGTTTGGCCACATTCCCATCATTGCCACCAAACACACACAGCTGCAAAGGCTGGAGAGAAATCGTAGCTTAGCACTCTTCATGTGTGTTGCATTTCCAAATAAAAGGATGAAAGAGCAGGTGGAATTGGAAAATAAATATTAAAATCCTAAAACCTGGAAAGATGCTGCCCATCAGTGTAGACAGTTGGTGTCCTCCAGACTTGTTTAACTTCATCTCCCATGATTCTGCAGCCAGCACAGCATCATGGGAGTGGAAGTAAAACCTATCTGGAGGGTATCACATTGGAGAAGGATGATCTAGTCTAAGGCAGCTTTCTCTGTTCAATTGGAAGTGATATGGAAGTTGAATGCTACATATTGTATTACTCTTTCTGCAGATTCATCTTGAACTTCTTTCTCTGCATTTATGTGCATCTGAAAAATTGCACTAAAATACTTTTTAATGTGATGCTTTCTCAAAGGAGAAGTTGCAAGAGACACAGCTTTGAACATAACCTACATAAGCGATTCATGCAAACATCCCATTCAAAGAGCCATAAAAGCACAGTCAGCATCAAAGCAGCATAGTGGCACCTGTGACTACCTCCATGTTAGTTGTTGAAAAGTGACTGCCAAAATGCTAATCATTATGAGAGGTGGGAATGTCCAGGAGGTTTTCTTAGAAATAGATTTTTAAAAAAAACTCTTGCCATTTGTAAAATCAAAATTCACAGAATTTGCATTTTCCAAATTTACAGGCAAACTGTGGAATGCACATATGTGTAACTGTACACAAAAACGTATGCATTAAGAACCCACTGCACAAAAATGAACATAGTAAAGCACTTGAAAAAATGTATACATCAGAGAAAGTACAGATAAAAATGCAAATATTACAACACACATAAAAATGCATAGAAATTTTTGAGTGGGAGGGAATCAAATTCATAAATGGATGCGGGCCTAACCAATACTTTAGTAAAATGGAAAACTGAGTAGAAATCAAATTGATAAGTCCTGAATTGCCATACAACTTTATGTGACTTGCACACATTACTTTTTTTTCTTTTTCTCTCTCTCTCTCTCTCTTTTTTTTTTTTTTTCATAAGGTTTCTCAAACCTGGATCCAACCTGACCATCCAGTATCATCATATTTAGTTTTCATGATAACATTTCCAATGGTCTGCACCTTTGTTTCCTGTAAAAAAAGATGGGGCAAATCATTCATGTACATGATGGGAGAAATTCAAAAATGAGTTTGGGTGTGAGCACTGCACTGCAATGTAGGGTATAGGGTATACATTCAGAAGCACAGCCTTACTCTCCCAAGCATATTATTTAACAAAAAGCAAGTATCAAGCCTCTCTCAAGCAGTTGATTAAAAAACCTTTATGTTTCAAACTGAGAAACGCTTTGAAGCTTTATCAGCGAGTCCTTTCCTCTGATGAGCTTTGCACTTTTTTGACCACAGACAAGCTGATACTGCCTAACACAACCCCGCAGTTGATGGGGTGACTGCCCTCTAAGTTGCTGTTAGTCTTCAGACTGAAGTGCTGATTCTGTTCCCATGGGGAAAAGCATCACATCATGCATTCTTGCAAACATCTACTGCTCCCCCTACACCATAAGAGAAGGAAGAGGAGGAAGCAGCTCTGAAATTAATAAATCTGAAGGGTATTATTTTTAATAGCTGTGACTATCATGATTTTGTAACAATTGAATTCAAACAGCTTGGAATATTGTAGCAGAGGAAGAGAGGAAAGGAATCTAAAAAGCTCTTTTACAGGTTGAAAAGGAAAATATGGCCAGGTTAAAACACTCTAACAACTTGAAGATGAGTGGACTTCATCTCCCACATGCTGGCTGGGGAATTCTGGGAGCTGAAGTCCACATGTTTTCAAGTTGCCAAGGTTGAGAAACACTGCTCTAGATATACTGTGCTACAATTCCAATTATCCTCAGCCAGGATAGTGAAAGGGAATGGTACTTACTGCTAATGATAGGGAAAATTTCTGATCATTCCATAGTAAAACTTCTTTGAAATCCATGTTCTTTCTGTCCTACTAATGGATATGTTTGTGAAGTCTGTTTAGTTATTTAAAAAAGGCAAACAAAATCCTCATTCATCAGGACCAGCCAAATCCAGTACTGTAGGCATAGCTATTCTCAGCACAGAGAAATACTTCTTCTCCCTGCCTGTACCTGTTAAAGATGAGGAGACTGTCAGAAGTAAAGGGGTGGCAACTTTAATTTATCATCACAACCATAACTGAGATTCATAACCAGGATTCAAAGCTCTGTAAGCCTAGATGGGAGAAATCTATCAACTGTATTTCTTTCACATTTCAGAATTTTTAAATCAACTTCTTTCTGCCCTATTTATGAAAAAAAAATGGCAGATTTCAATAAGGATGTACTGTATTAAAACATTATTTGAAAAAAAAAACTCACTTATTCCTCAGTCCAGCACATCTAAAGCTGGGGAAGACTGCAGTAAAAAAAAAAAAAAAACTGCCTTTTTCCTGCCCAGGACATTCCCAGCCAGTGACATGAGTGGAAAGCTTGATTAAGACTCTGCCCACTGGTTTAATTATTGCATATTTAGACCTGCACTGAAAACATGGATATTCAGAGTTTTCACATCACTTATTAAAAATAAATCAGAATCTGAGTTAGTATAAGGTTGCAGCGTTCACTAAAGTCATTAAATCTGAACAATCATTAAGCTTGGAACCAAACCAATCTGTAGAACTAGTGTAACCTTTAGCAGACAACATACTCCCAAAGGAAAAATAAAACAGCCTTTTGGACTGATAGTTACAAATTTCAGTTCAGATTATAAATGAATTTTCATCACTTGACATCTGTTTGCATGTATGAATGTGCCGTGAATGACTGTAGATTATACTGTAAATAAAGCCATTCTTATCAGCCAATCCTCCAGCCATAATGCTATTCACTTACACACTCTTTCAGCCCCCATCAACAACAACAGCAAATGGGTTCATGCACTGCTCCAAGGCATAGTGTGATTTGTTTAGAGTTTAGCAGTGAATAAGCTATACTGGCATCTCAGCCAGGGTGGATTATTCAACAAGTCATGATTAAAACAATTATTTTACAATATGTGAATCCAGTCACAAGATTCAAGCGTAAAAATATTAAACAACATACATAGGTGTCAGCCCCCCACCCACCCACACTATGCCCACATTCCCAAGAATATATCTACAAATTAAGTTTGATGAGGGATAGCAACGTCCTTCATTGTCGTACTGTAAGTTGTGAAACACGCTATCTACACTCTTCTAGAATGCAGATGGAATACTTGTACTGGACTAATCCATATGGTTTATTAAATTTCAGTACAGTTCAGCTGTATACTCAGTTGCTGGAGAAGCGATTCTCAATCTACACAGAACAAGTTAAAAGAATCCTGGTGAATGCTGCTACTTACAGAAATACAGAATAGTTTTCTGTGCCACTTTACTAGAAATATACCAAATTATGCCAAAAACAGAGAAAAAAACAGGAATGTCTTTAATACAAAGTCTGCCTAACCCAATCTAGGCTAGTATCTATTTAACTTCACTAAATAGATTTACACTAAAAAGTCATGGAAGTGACACACTGAAGTACAATTCTTTAAACAACATGCAACAAGTGTTATTAGACACACAGTAAAATCTTAGGTCTGTTTATTTGGAAGTAAGTCCCATTCTGTTTAGTGTGGCTTAGTTTCAGGAAAGTGCAAACAAGAAATGTACAAAGTGGAATTTACTTCGAAATAAGCATACACAGGATTACAATGCAAACATTCCTAAAAGAATGCAAGTCCTGCCATATGGTAAAACCATAGGAATATTTATTGTGATTTTTGAGTGAATATTAGTACTTGAAATGAAAACCAGAAGTTAAACTTAAGATCTACTGTGGAAAATATATATTCTGAACTTTGTACTGTGGTAAAGAACGTAGAATAGTCACAGGTTTAAAATCAAATACATGCATCTTTGCAGAGTTTAATCTTCAAATTACAGACCTAGGAAATGCACCTCATCCCCAAGAACACCACCAAACCATTCCAGTCTGAACATCTCTTTTTTTAATCATTCACAAAAGCAGAATATCCTGTTAAACAAGAACATTTTAAAGGCATTAAGGCCATTTTCACAAATGACACTGAAATTTGTTTTTCACAGGTCCCATTTCTGCATCTTGAATATAGAATCCCTCCCAGTTAAATGCACATTTGATTTCAAACTGCCTCTCACTTTCTGTCCAGCTATAGCAGAGTTAAGAAGTGAACCCATTTCAGATTTAACAGGCTTTAGTGTCTGCTTGTGAAAATGCCCTAAAACTGAGAAAGAAAAAATACAATCTCCATCCCTATCTGTTTCAAGCAAGTACTATACTTAAGGGGCCAAACATAAAATAATTCCTGAATGATGTTTTTGGCTTCCAGCTATTCCACAACTCTCCTTTAAGGGTGCCAGAAGCATCACTTAGAATCCAATATCACAGGAGCCCCTATGCATTTCTGCATTGGCTTTCATCTTCGATCAGGCCAAACTACTGACAGCCTCCAAAGGGGGGGAGGGGGGTCAGGGAGGCTCAGAGGATCTTGCTACAAGGAATTACTTTTAGGCACAATGTTTTATGGGTTTTTTTTAATTTTTAAACTTGAACATTAGGCACAATGTTTTACGTTTATCTCTCTTTAAACTTTAGCATTTTACACTCACCCACACACGTGTGTGTGTAGATATATAATAAACACACACACACCGGACAAATCAGTATCATTTTCCGGAAGACTTGTGTTCACATTCTAGCCAAGAACGTTTTAGCCTAGGGTGTTGTGTAAAGTCAGCCACTATCCCATCCAAATTATTATTTAGTAGCGGAACCCAGAAACTTGTGTTGACTACATGAATTATGGTTCGGTTCACCTTGGGAAAGCATATCCTGTAAATCCAGGCGGCTGACCGCCTTTCAAAGACACCCCAATCAAGTCACCAGGACACGTTTCAACAGCGAGCGCGACCCCCCTCACCCTCTTTGCCCCCGCTCTGCGAACGGAGGTTAAAAATACTTGGCGGGGGAGTCCTCTTTCTTTTGAACGGGAATCTGAGCGAGGCGGCTCACTCCGCCGAGCGACCGCAGCCGTCAAGTTGGAACCCAAGCTCCGCCTGAGCAAACGACGAGCAGGTGTCTGGTCACCACGTGGGTTTTGAGATGCTGATTTGTTGTACCCGAACCAACTTGGCTACTTCGATCTGAAGTATTCCCGGCCAGCTTTAAAGCCCCGCTGTCCCCACACCGGTATTACACAGTCCCGTTCTCCCTCGGTCCCTATTCCCCGCCAAGATCCCACCGAGGCGAGGCGAGGCGGGGCGGGCCCTTCACGTACCTTTGGCGTCTGCCGCCCTTCGGGTCCCGCCGCTTCCAACTTCCTCCTGGCCCCGAGAAAGAGGAGGAGAGCGGCGATCCACAGGATCCCCAGGACAGACAACACCAGCCTTCGACTCAGTCGCCTCATCGTTAGTTGGAGAAGAGGAGGAAAGCGGCGGCGGCGGCGGAGGGGAGAGAAAAGTCTTCTCGCTTTCGAAAAGCGGCGAGGCGGGGCGGGGTTGGAGCTGGCTGGCACACTTCCCGCCCCTCTAAAGCGGGCAAGAGCGCTACCGGTGGGATGACTTCCAGCGAGTCCCCGCGAGGGGCACGGCTAAGTAACCCCCCTCCAAAGCAGCCCAGGAGAGAAGGAGGAGGAGGAGGAGGAGGAGGAGGGGCCTACGGCGGCGCGGGCAGTCCCGGGCCGTCCTCCCCGCGTGGGGTTGGCGGGCAGGAGAGGAGGAAGCAGGAGGGGAGGGGCTAGGGGTGGGGAAAGGGAGCGGACGGGTCTTCCTGCCGCGGACTCGGAGAGCAGCAGTCCAGCGGCGACTCTGCTTGCTGCCGGCCTTTCGAGCGCCAAGGGAGGGGAATCCCTCCGTGGCACGAGCCACTGGCAAGGGCGGGAGAGCCTC